TTTCTTGGAATAGGATTTCATTCCCAGGAAATGTGGCTACTCAAATTACAACATTTTCATCAGATCTGCTACTTTATACGTGCATGCAGCTGCTGTTCTTCCTCTGGAATGCTGCACCAACATGTTAGTACAGAGGTTGAAGAGCGACACGTCAAACACTGGGCAGTAGGGAATTGATTTTACAAAATATCATAATTTAATTTTTTAAATAGTAAGTTGCAAATTGACAGTACTCTTTAATTTATTTATTATTTTATATGTTAATATATTTCTGGCATAATTCTCGTTAGATATTTTACCACCCATCTTTACATGAATCATTGTCCAAAAGTTGATTTACATAATCTTTCAAATGTACTCCATACAGTTTCAACAGGGTTGAGATTTTATATGTGGTTAGATCGCTGTTGTTTAGAAATTCTTGTCTAAGTTCCTCTGACACAAACTCTCACCCTGAAATTTACATCTGCTCACATAGACAAGCCAGATGTCTTCTGGTGAAAGGTGTTATGCTCAGATAAGACAAACTTCCCATCAGAGGCAGTCATTTTGGCTTGTTGGCTGATCTATTCAAGAGGCGAGTTGAAAGAATGCTGTACGTCATTTTTAAACATGGTGGTGGCAGCATCCAGAGGGAAAGCTGTATCGCATGGAGTGGATGGAATATCATTACCTCAAATCAAGTGCTGAATAGGTAAAACTTGGACACGGTGCAAACATATGTCAAGTGTACATCGGAACTTGTTTTGGGATGAGCAAAGCACCAAATGACCTCAACACTAACAAATATCCGGGGACTATGCCTAAAAGTCAGGTTGGTGCAAGGAAACAACTCACTTTTTAAATGAACCTTACCAAGAGAGATCTAATGTTCAGCCAGAATCATCAAGTGGTCCAAAGACAGTCATCCAAATGTTAGTGGAGATGTACATGGATAAGCCATTATGGATAGGAGACAAACTATTATGAATTCTGAGTAGCATTGTTGAATTTGTACATGAATGAAATGCAGATGTTTGTTTTTTTGTTTGTTTGTTCTTTGAGTTAGCGACTCATTACAGTCCCAAAATTAGCATGCTGTGTGACTATGATATATGGGTCTGACTGTTTTAAGAACAAAACAACCATAAGAGCAAAAGGTGTGAAATGATAGAGACGGAATTACCAACACACATTCCTGATCAAAAATATATATTGTGACACTAACCTTACATGACGAATCTTTAGTTTGCTGTAGTTATTTTTCTGTCCCACAGGTCACTTTTATTACTGAAAGTTTTACTTACTAGCTACTGCTAGGACGTTGCTCAGTGGCTCTTTCTGTTCAGACTACACTATGCGAGTAGTTACCTGAATGCGTGTGCCAGTGTACATCTGTCTGTCTCTCAGGTGTTGGTACTCACATTAGTTAGAAAAAATATCAACAAAGGATTCTTGGAAACTGGGGAGGCCTACACAAAGAGCATCCAGGCTCCTTTCAGTGTCACTCGATCTCTTGTGTGTTTGGACGTGTATGTATGGCTAGATAAGTGTGTGTGCGCGTGTAGTTGGGGGGTGGAGGGGTTCTTTCTTTAGGGTTTGAGGGCGCCTCATTGGCTCCAACTCCAGGGTCAACTGGAGGTCAGGACATGTGTGATGGATGGACCCTGTGTCTGTAGACCACTATCCAGCCTACATGCTCCTAGTCTTGGCTCCTCCTGTGGGCCTCTAACCCATCAAAGTCCCCTGGCTGTGCTCTCCTGTTTTCACATTTCTCTGTGTGCCTCCGTTTGGCACCCCAAGTCGGAGTGCCTCACTGAGCTGAGCGGAGCGCAGCACAAAGAAAACCGCAGACAACTCCTGGAGGTGAGTGCTGATGTCAAGATGCGGACTTTCTGCTTTTCCTCCATCCACTCAACCACATCCCTCTTCCCTTCTTCTCTGTCTGCCACTTTAGCCGGCATGCTTATCCTGCCATAGTAGCACACAGCAACTGATTTCATGATGTCATCTCCCTCTCTCTCCCCCTGCCCCCATCACTCTGTCAATCCATCCATTTGCCTCTGTCGCACATCTGTCGATGGAGGAATTCATTTTGTCTGCCAATCACGCCAAGGGAGTGGTCAGTTTGAGCAGATGTGCCAATACCTGGACCAGCATGATGAGTGGCTTCTGTCTGTCCACATCACTGCCTCGCTGGGTTCCCACCTCTCTCTGTTTGAACTGAGCAGTCAGTAAAAGATTCAGAAAGGGATTTCTGAGAGAAGAAAGTGTTTGACCCTTAGACTCTTTTTGCAGAGCTGTATATGTGCGGAAAATAAACCTTATTTGCAAACCGAGTTCTAACCTGTACGCGGAACCACAAAATTTTTTCTTGCTGCTTATTTACCATGCAATATTTCAGACTGACAATGAAGAAATGGGACTATTTCTCTTCAACTATTATATAAATGTAATTGGCATAGAGGTAAGATTAGATTCATGTGAAAAATTCAATCCAAATCCAAATTTTAAGACAGAACATATGGGGTTCATGGTCTTACTTTGTCAGTCTTCTGTATAATTAGTACAGTACATACAGACACAGAATTACAGAAAAAATAATAATAAAACCTGGGATTCCAAGCTTGAAACATCTGATTCCACAAAATAAGAAAGCCCTTTGACATTTTTTTTCTACAACATTCACTGTATGTGTGTGGACATAAAAGTCATCATCCTCTTCTACTTGCATCTGTTTCTACTACTTCATCGAAAAAATATTTTGCACATGTTACTGCCTGTCTTAGTGTGTGGGCTCTGGTTTAAATAGCTGTTTGCTCAGGTCCTTTTTCATTAATGGCTCTTTCCATGTCATACGTTTGAAGGAAGAGACAAATCCAATTATTATAATGTGTCCAGTTCTTAATGAGACTTTTTATTTAACTTCAATCTAAAAGGAAGCTTGACGTCATTCTTGTGAAGAAGGTGCCCTTTTTTTGGTCCATAGCTAAACTGAGAAACGCTCTGCTTGGACACTTTTAAAGCAAATACAATTACTTCCATATTTCTGGAACATACAAGGAAATGCAAATAAAAGTAAAACTTTGTTTTTACAACAGGTTAATTACTGCTAAATAAACACATTAGATAGATAGATAGATAGATAGATAGATAGATAGATAGATAGATAGATAGATAGATAGATAGATAGATAGATAGATAGATAGATAGATAGATAGATATTTTAACATTTTTTAAAATAAGATTATGAATTATTCGATTTGAAGAATATACTTTAACATTTGAAAAATTAAATTATGAAAGCATATAGAAATAAGCATCTCTTTCAGAAGCAGTTATCATTAAGTTATTGATTGATACAATAATCCGATGTTAATATGCTGACTGGAAGAATATTCATGAGCGGCTTTGTCGGAAAATATACTTCATTGCAAAAAAATTAAATAAAAATTATTATTATTATTATTATTATTATTATTATTATTATTATTATTATTATTATTATTATTATTTCGGGGTGTTTCCTAACTCAAATGCCTGAAACCCGGAGCCTAAACTTTGCCAGATCGTGTGAAACTTAATATTTCGTATTCCATCGTAATGCTTTAAACATTTACTGCTCTGTACCAGCGTCTAAATGGTTTGAGTTAAGCATCTGTCATCGTCCATATGTTTATCTCTGGGCCTTAATAGAAACCATCAGGATCGTCGGGAAGTCCTCTCCCGTGACGCCTTTCCTTTTTCTGTCATTTGTATTGGTTTGCTAATTATTTTTACTTCGGAGATTCGTTTAAAACCGGCCCGTCCAAGCCAGGTTTGTTTACCCTGTGCGGGGTGTATAAGCTCTAGTTTGGGTTTGAGGGGGTTAGGATGGTGCTGTGACAACAAACTGAAGCCGTGACCGAGGATTGACCCTGAATGCACGGCCTTTTCATTTGAGAATCAGCTGGGTTTCACTCTGAGGGGATCCTGTAGCGCACACCAGCTGCAGGGGGGGACATAAGAGTGGCTGCAACTCATAAAGCAGGGTGCGCAAGGTCCCATAGAGGGAATGGAGATTGTTAAAAATCACACTAGAGTCTTTTTCCATTTCATTTATACCAGACAAAGTTGCACATCTGCCGTGAAACTGACCCGTAATTACATCTTGTTGCATTTAAGTGGTGTAATATGGTGTCATTTAAATTAACTTAAATTGAATTTAGGATAAATTGGCGTACTACTACTTCTACTACTACTACTACTACTACTACTACTAATAATAATAATAATAATAATAATAATAATAATAATAATAATAATAATAATAATAATAATAATAATAATTTGACCTACTTAAATATTCCTGTTTAAAATTGTAAATATGTCATTTTCGATAAATATTAGCAAATTTGTATATTTACGGGACCTTTACAACGAATTCAATTAAATAATTTTCAAAAACGTCACATTTTTAAACGGCAAAAAAAGAGACTGAATCGATTAATTTGGTTATGAGTATAATAGCTTTTTTAAACAAACCTCAATTAGTAATTGCTTAATTTCTTCTTCATAGTATTTATTAAAATATTTATTTTGAAATCTGAAATTGTGCTCAGATTTAGCCACGAGCTGCATAGGTCTAATAGTTTGCGTCTATGCATGTATAATTCTTTCAGGGTAATACTATGTTTAAAAATTGCGTATTTGGTTTCTTTTGAGAAACAGAACAGACAGTAAACCCGCTGTATGTTGCACGTTCTCAGTTAATCGCAGTATTCAAAGAGGCCTTGCAAACAAAACGGACTCTCACCTTGAGCAACAAGTGTGTGTACACTAAACTATTTATATAAAACAAATAAAAATAAGGGCGTCTGTAGTTATCAAATAACCTTGCCATCGTCCAAAACGACACACGTTATTCCCAATATAATAAACGCGCTCTGACATAACTAGGCGTGCGTTTGATCAATTAAAAGCGCAAAAAAGGAAAAAAAAAAAAAAAAAAAAAAAAAAGGGGCTTAACTTACTCGACTTACCCATGTGTGGAGTTGAATTGGACTGAGGCTGCCTGTGCCAGAGACTCTCTGCAGCTCAAATACAGCCGCTTCTGCAGGTGGATCCAAGGTAAAGGTGAACTGCGCTCATTAATCACGCTTCTTTCATGGGCTTTGTGTCCTTTTAAGGCAAAATGGACACGCATCCTGCACACCAGGAATTAAAACAACAACACAAAGCCGCGAAGCTGTTCTTTTTCCCAGGGTGTCGAATATACTGACTTTTTTTTTCTTTTCTCTTTTCTTGGCTTGAAAATTATGTTGTAAACCCGAGATAATGACTATTGTTAAACGAAGTTTGCACTCTTTCTTTCATTTTTTTGGTATAGGTGTAAGTTTTCACAGTTTATCTTGTCGTTAGGATGGCATGATGACACCCCCTTGTAACTTGGTGAACTTAAGAAGCTGAACTGACACTGTGACATCAGTCAATAGCCGTAACCTCGATGTTTCAATCAATATATTTTTGTCCCCTCAGTAAGCCGAGAGCTCGATAAGGTTGCCATCATAGAAGACGCTGACATCCTCGCTCTCGGATAAACATGCCTTTATTATGCCAATAACCGTTTACTCCAGGGACGGGAGCGCGCCAGGCCGCATACATTGACAGGACTGGATGGGTGAATGGACATGTGGAGTTTCTGTAATTTCTCTTCTATCCTTTTTTTTGTGACTTATTGCTTTTAAATATATGTCAGTCGGATTTAGATTCGATAGACTGCTTAGATAGCTTTAAGTCATGTTACGCTACATCATTCCCAATATCTACCCCGCAGGAGACAAAAAAAAAGTGAAACAGAGGAAAAGATTTATATTTAAACGTACTTTAATACACATGATTGACCCGTAAACCCCTCTCTGGACAAAACACTTTACATTCGTCCCACTTGATTAAATGGAATAGCAGATAAAAGCCTTTCACAGCCCTGAAGGACCGGCTCCGCAACTGATAAAACTCAGCGCCCCACTGGTGATATATGAAGGCTTTACATATCATGCAAATCCCATACACACACACACACACACACACACACACACACACACACACACACACACACACACGCTCCCGCGCACAGACAAAATAAAAGACAGAGGTGACAGCGATTAAACAGCTACTGTAACTATTCATTCACTAACGATAAATAAACGAGGTCATCTCGTTGATTGCGTGATGCCTCATTAACAGCGTCGCCTGTGGCCGGTGGCGCACTTTTATTTCTTTCTTTTTTTTTCTTTTTTTGAGGTATTTGCTTGTGTGTGTGCAGATTTGTCTCTTTATTTTTATATAAAGCAGCACTGGGTCAGGGTATAGGGCATAGGGGTGGCAGTCTTTCCACTTAGTTTTGTAAATGGGAAGCCACATTTTCAGCAAATAAACACATTTCAAATCATGACTGGACAATAGTGCTTCGTGCAGACACGTTAGTGATTATGCAACAACTCTAAAACCTTTAAGCCATTGTCCGTGTTATTGGGGAAAATGTCCCAAACGTCTACAAATGTACCCGCGAATATCATTCACAGCAATCTTTAACTTTGGTGGTCAGGCTCCTCACGTGGCCTAAAGAGGTAAAGAGTTGGTCCTCAGTTGGAGGCGTAAGTGTCAGTGCCCGTGGAAGACACGGTGGAGGATGAGGGGGAGGGAGTCGAGGGGGACGATGAGGTCGACCTCTCAGATGCTGCATCGTCCATTTTCTCTGGGATGATCCCCTCCCGTTCTGCGGGGGGAGTTTTGGCCGGCAGCAGCCCCTCCTTCTCACGCTTTTTCTGCTTCATCCTCCGGTTCTGGAACCAGATTTTTACCTGAGTCTCGTTCAGCTGAAGCGCGGCCGCGATCTCTACGCGGCGCGCCCGCGTCAGATACTTGTTGAAGTGAAACTCCTTTTCCAGTTCTGTAAGCTGCTTGGTGGTGAAGTTGGTCCGGACTGTGTTCGGCTGTCCTGCGTAACCGTATTCCCCGGATCGTCCTGCAGACAGAAGTGAAAGCTTTATCCTGTTTTCTTTTTAGTACCATAAAACAGTTAAAATGCCCCCTCAATAAAACCGGTCTTGTTTTACGCATCTGGAACCACTTGTACACACCAGAAAATTAATGGCTTCTCTTGCAAAAAAGAAAAAAGAAAAAAAGGAGCTCTGGTATTCTAATCAATGTCCTGCTTCATTGTGTCCTCATTAAAGATTTAAAGTTGCAAATTTGAAAGTGATAAAAATTCCTTTGGCATTTAGTTATCTGGGCCCTGGGAAGAACACATATATGTCAATGTTGACCTACAACCTTATGCTTAAGCAGCTTAGACCAAGCAAACTTGTTGGCAGTTTCCTCAAACATCGATATTTATGGACGTCTTTTGATGTACGTTTAAGTTTAGCTAGTCCTTGTCTTCATTTAGCCCAAAAACATGCTGCAAGGTTATTTTTTTTAGATTTTTAGCCAACACGTCCCGTCCAAAATTACAAAAATGCCAAGCTTAATTACCATATTCGATCAATAAACATCAATAGACATCCATAGAGTCGTTTCACTTATGTAGTGAGAAAATGCTCGCCATTGTAACAGGATTTGGAACATCATCTTTTGACTTTTGAACATCTCAGGCCCTTTTACAGGACTGTATAAAATACCAATACATGAATCTTTCTCTTTAAGTCTTCATTTTCGTTTTTCAACTATATGTTGACAAAGTTTAGAGGGAAAGCGATGTCATCGTTTCTAGGTCTTATTAAATGTCGTTATGTATCCTATCTGTTCTTAAGGTACATTTTTCCCCACTCACCTGTTTTCGGTGGATTCCTCTTAACCTTCATCCAGTCGAAAGTCTGCGCAGAGGAGGCGCCCTCCGACAGAGGTGAGCAACAAGCCTCCAGGTGAGCTGCGTGCAGAGGTGACATGGGGTTTGAGCCACCAGGGTAAGGGGGCGCTTGCTCGTGTCCGCCTCCGTAGGTGGCGTGGCTATACTGCAGCTGGCCCAGTGGGGTGGCACTGTAACCGTGGCGGTGCTGAGGAACCATGGAGGAGGGTAAGTTACCCGAAAACATCAATGGACCGCACTGGGGAAACGCAGCTCCAGAGTCCACTTCCTGGTTCAGCGTGTAGTGGTTATATGTTGCGCAGAAACTTTGGGGCCCATAGCTGGTGCTGCAGGCCGGGTGGGCTCCGTAGGAGAGACCCAAAGTGTTTGCAGAAGACTGGTAAGACGCCGGCTGATGAGGGAGGCTGTCAGGAGAAGTCCTGTTTGCCATGAAGTGCTCATCCGCCCCACAGCTGTTGACAGCAGCCCCGCAGGACTGGAAAGCTGTAATCCCGTGGTCCGAGTGGAAAGCCCTGATGGAGCATGAGCTACCTTCTCCGCTCATCACCGAGTAGTCTAAGAAGCTGCTCATTGTGGCATCGCTCTCCGAGGGGCTGAGGGACCGTCCTCTCCAACAAACGCCCTCTAACCCACCCTTGCCCAAAGTGACCGTGCCAACCTTTACCTATACTCTATCCTTATCAGTGTTGGAAGGAGGGGGCGCGCATTGACCGATATCAATGAACGGCTGCCGTCACGTGGCTACAGGTCAGCCAGTGAGGCACTTGTCCTTATCCCCTATAGGACGGTGACAGATTGGTGTTTGAGGGGCTATTTAAATTCCGAGCGCTCGTCGATCAAGGTGACGCGCGACGCCGCTAATGTATTGGCCGAGCAAACAATGAGCCAGGAGGCAGACGGAGGTGGACAGTCCCGGGGTCGCATGCGGGGAGCAGGGCTGCTGCAAGCAACCCCGCTGCGCGCTCCTGCACCGGTGGAGAGATTAACTTTTCATCCTCTGCTACTTCACCGTGAGGACGGCCCTGCACTCTGACCCCCCAGGTAGCCTATTTTTGGATTAGAGCGTGTGAGGCTGTGCGTGTGTCCTGCTCGAGTGTAACAGCGGCGTTGTCACATACCGTCAGTCGCTCTTGGATAGATGGCCAAGTGTGCGTGTCCCTCTGTGTGTGTGCGTGTGCGTAACGTTGCCGCTGGGTATATGTGGGCTATTAATGTCTCATTCCGATGCGAAATGTTTCACGCTTGAACATTATAGGATTTTACTCTGCAAATATTGTCACAGTGTGACAGTAAGGAAGAGGCAAGAACATTGCCCTCCCATTACAGACTGAAATGAGCAACATTTCCCTTTCTATATTTTTTCTTTTCTTTTATTTTTCGTTTCTTTTCTTCTTTTGTTATGAACTGTTAAATGTAGCAGTAGAAGATTTAGAGGGGCAATTACTTTCGCCTTTACCCGTCATTTCGTAGCAGTTTTTTTTTTTTTTTTTTTTTTTTGCAGGTATGTAAAGGAGCTGGAACTGGTCCATGTATCAGTTCGTGACCCCTTGCTTCGTACCATCTCTGATAGCCAATCATTAGTATTTTTTTTAAATCATTCAGTCATCTCTGCTGTAACGTCATGCGTTTACAACTACTCCCATTATTATAAAGTTTATTTGATAGGGACAGACACACATCGACATAGACAAACTGAATAAAACAGCAGTCCCATGTTTGCATCATGGTGCAATAGCAACAGCTAACTCGCAGCACTTGTCCCTAAGTACCTTCTATTAGCAGGAGGAGAGAACAGGATGGGATATGAAATCATCAAATATCAGGCTATGTGGCACATTTTAACGAAAAAGTGGAAAGTTGAACATTTTATATCTGTTTTTCTCAATAATTAAAAAAAAAAACACTTGAGTAATAGACAGATGTAGCCTGGTTTGTTTACGGTACAGACCGAAAGTATGTTGGAATGAAATGGCATTGCATTGGTACAAAATGGGAGCATCACTGTTAAGGAATCTGTGTTTGCCTGTTGTACACTCCACCTCATGTGGCAGCAGGGGCGTCTCCAGAACTTCCTCAGACCAGATTGGAACCAATGAGGATATTAGTGTGAGGAAGCAAAAACCAGAAGTCATATCAAGACAATGTTATCGTTTTATCCATATCTTTAGTTTTAGTGAAGTAGTGAGGAAAGGAAGGCAGAGAACCTTTAGTAAGAGGCTCAAATAAATAAATAAATAAATAAATAAATAAATACATCTATTGATACATCTATTATCTACCCG